AGGAGGTGCCACCTCCATATTGTCCATCATGTATCCATGCAAGAACTTACACTTCCCATGCACCTATCATTTCAATCCTCTCTCCTCTCTTCTTCTTATCTTCGGCCGAGAATCAACACACACATACATTTTATCGAACTCCTTCTAAGTATACATTCAAGAACCCCTCTCCTCTTTCATCAAGAATTTCGAGACTTAGAAGCATTTCAAGTAGGTTTCAACCAAAAATCACTTCAAGTTACACTCTAGTGGTAAGATCTTACAAATTTAACGACAAAACAGATAAACTATTCAAGGATTGGGTCCAATATCGATTATTGGGCCGATATAACAAGACATGTATATTGGGCCTTGGTGACCCAATTACATGCCCGGCGGGCCTTTATTAGCTTCGACATGCTATTGGCCTTAGTGGCCCATTTGCATTGCTAATATGGTCCTAAACATTCATCATATGCTTAATGGGCTGTAACGCTCGTAATCAGGGCTAGTCAATTTAGGACGATAAGCATCAAAAATGACTTTTTGATGGAAGATTATTTAGAAGGATTAATCTTAACCAAGTTGTAGTATATGTCTCAAGTTTCCGGATATATAAAGATTCATTAGAAACGATCGTTTTAATTAGAAACGAATTGCTGCCCGATTTCGGATTAATCTTAACCAAGTTGTAGTATATGTCTCAAGGTTTCCGGATTAATCTTAACCAAGTTGTAGTATATGTCTCAAGGTTTTCCGGATATATAAGGATTAATCTTAACCAAGTTTAGTATATGTCTCCCGGTTTTATTAGAAACGATCGTTTTAGGAAACGAATTGCTGCCCGCCCGATTTTCATTAATCATGAGTGTGTAGTCACTTTCATCTTAACACATAAATATGAAGTATTTTATATAAAATACGTAATATGTGTATATATTTGTGTTGTTTCTTTGAGATGGATGTTGAATGAATGTTTATACATGTTTAAAATGATTTAAAATGTATTATATTTTATCTTCAAATATGTTAGGTAAAACATGGGTAGATAAAGATGAGGGATAAAGTACAGTATAGATGTACGTTGGTAGCTATGAATTAGTACAGTATAGATGTACGTTGGTAGCTACGGATTTAGTATGTTTGCAGTTATGGACTTAGTGTCTGTTGTATAAATCTTGGCGACGATGTGACTTCGTGCCTATTAGATAAACCCTGTGACGATGTGACTTCGTGCCTATTAGATAAACCCTGTGACGATGTGACTTCGTGCCTATTAGATAAACCCTGCGACTATGAGACGTAGTGCCTATTAGATAAACCCTGGCGACTATGAGACGTAGTGCTTATTGTATAAACCCTGGCGACTATGTACGTAGTGCCTGTTGTATAAACCTTGGCGACGATGTGACTTCGTGCCTATTTGACATAAATTGCTAAGGGAAAGCAATGTTGTCACCCCGATGTTTGTTTTATTTGACAACATTGCTGAGGGAAAGCAATGTTGTCACCCCGATGTTTGTTTTATTTGACATAAATGCTGAAGAAAGCAGTGTTGTCAC